TGGCGGCCAGCCCGGCGGTGCATTAGCAGTCCCGCAGCCCCTTCTCTCCCTTTCCCGCACTCCTGGCTGTCCGTGTGTCGTGCCGTCCGTGTAGGTTAATTATACTGTATTTACCTGAGTATACGACCCCTCCCCCTTTACCTAAATTTATGAGAAAAAGTACTATTTTCTACTTTTTATTTTCCAAACTAATAAGTAACTGTCTTTATTTTTCAAAGGACCTGATGGTATACGTGAGATGAAGTCTCATTCATTTTTTGCCACTATTGATTGGGATAAACTGGCTAGAAAAGAAATACAACCACCCTTTAAGCCTGCAGTTTGTAGAGCAGAAGATGCTCGATATTTTGATAGTGAATTCACATGTAAAACCCCTAAAGGTTTGTATTGTGATTTATCTAAATTTTAATTCTTGATGTTAACGCTTGATGTAACTTAATTTTTTTTAAACTATTGCATTACATTTACTTTGGTTTACAGACTCACCAGGTCTACCTGCTAGTGCTGCAGCTCATGAACTCTTTAGAGGATTTAGTTTTGTGGCACCATGCTTATTAGATGAACAAGGGATTCCTACAGAAAGAACTATAGAGTCAATATCTAAGGTGAGAGAGGCAAATTTTCCTGGGTGGCCTTACGTTCCTTCAAATTTTTACTCAACCGGGAATGATGACCTTTTAAATTGTGTTACAGCAATTAATGTATGTAAAAAGAAATTCTGTGTCAGATGATTATGAGCTCAGAGAAGAAATTGGTCGAGGGAGCTTTTCAATATGTCGGTTATGTGTGCATAGGGTGTCTCGACAAGAGTATGCTGTTAAGGTAGTACTTTACTGACTGACGCTCATCAGTACAAACTGATACATTATGGTGTGTTACTAAATTCTAATTTATTTCTGCAGGTAATAGATAAGTCAAAACGAGACTGCCAAGAGGAGATTGAAATTTTGTTGCGATATGGACAACACCCTAATATCATCACATTGAGAGATGTAAGCAATAGGTTACTCATTGTCAGAGATCTTCTTTGTAATCATCCTTTTCATTTCCATTCTTTTATTTACTTTTTCCTCCAGGTGTATGAAGATGAACGTTCTGTCTATTTAGTGATGGAATTAATGCGAGGGGGTGAACTTGTAGAACGTATAATGGGACTGAAAATTTTCTCTGAAAGAGAAGCAGCAGCTGTCTTAAACACACTTGTTAGTGCAATTCAGTATCTTCATCAAAATGGAGTAAGTACTCTCAACTTGATGCTCACGGTTTCTAAAATCTAATGTTAAAATGAAGGCAATTTGAGAAAATTTGTTAAATGAAAATATTTGCATTTGAAGTTGCTCTAAAGTTTCGAACTTTTTTTTGTTCCAGGTTGTTCACAGAGACCTGAAGCCGTCAAACATCTTGTACGAATCGGAGAGCATGACCCCCGAATCGTTGAGGATCATCGACTTTGGCTTCGCCAAGCAGCTCCGGGCCGAAAATGGCCTGCTCATGACACCCTGCTACACGGCCAACTTCGTGGCACCCGAAGTGCTCAAGCGCCAGGGCTACGACGAGGCCTGCGACATTTGGTCGCTGGGCGTCATCCTCTTCATCCTCCTGGCTGGGTGAGTCCTCACACCCATTCTGTAACCCTGCCGTGTGAGAGCGGAATTCAGAGTTTGTTTTGGCCTGGCCGCGGGCTATGCTATGTTGAAAGCAGTTGAGAGGCATACCTCGCTCCCCTCCCCTTCCCCCTCCTCTCTCTCTCTCTCTCTCCACGGTATGCTTCTTTGATGTCCCGAGACCGCACCGTGTGGCCCTGGCCTTGGACACGTGGACATGAGACGGCGGCTGCTGCCATCCTTGTGGAACAAGTTGGCCCACGCTTCCGCGCCACGGGGAGTCACCTGGAGGCGACCACCGCCCCTCGCTCATCCCTCCCGCCGCCCCAACGCGCTTGACGGGTGTCTTCCTGTCGAACATGAC